CACCGTGGCGACTGTAAATGCCACAAAATGATTCAGAAGAAACGGCTATAGACAGTCTATTTTACCCCCACTCTCATAAAACGCGTATATGGTGCTTGGACACAGAGGTAACTCCAGACAGATTTAACGAATTTTACCAGCGACTTGTAATTGAATTGGTAAGGTTTGCCGAGCAGATCGGTTTAGCTCCAAATGCTTGCATTTCTTAAGTAACCTGATACAATTCTGGCCATGATAACGGCTATTGTGAACTCTTAAGTGGATTTCTTCAGTCCCTACGGATGGACGCTAGTCTTGTGCCTCTCTAATCTACACGCCTCAGGACTAACCGTTTCAAAATCATTTTATAAGCACTCCAGATTCATGATCACCTTTCCATCTCATCTACTCTTTATATTTATAAATTCTGCAGCTGAATCAGCAACATTAAATAACCTACGTGGGGGTTTACCAATGACGCGATTGTAGTCCACATCACTCTTTGTTGGGAAAGCGAGTCTTCGAATGGACTGTTCGGTAACTGAACCCGTGTCTCCTTCCTTACTTTGACCAGAGTTATTCTGTCCTCATTTCGATTGCCGAGTTTTTTTTTTAATTTTAAACTTAGAAAATAAAAATTTCAGCTGTCTTATCTCTCGATGAGCTCTTGAACGTTTCTCGTGTTCCGAAATTTTGCAACCAGTGTATTGTTATATTATTCAATAATTCCTTATAAAGACAAACGATCAGCGAACCAACCGAAGGCGAATTAACAGCGACAACGGGAGAACGTTAATAAAACCTCAGACGCCTTGGCCTTTTGTATAAAATAGGCCTAATTGGCCTATACATATTCTGCACACCGAAACATCTAACAACAAGCCTATAGGCTAACCTATTTGGGCATAACCTTAGCTAAAACGTCGTCGTTAAATAATCAAGGACTCAGCCAATCAAGAAAGAAGCATGGAAGATTTCCGTCTTCTGGGTTGTTGCGCTGTGTAGTCTGGTCGATGTTAACCAACGTTTCAGAGGTCATACTGCCTCCATCATCAGGGCGATTCATCGACCAGACTACACAGCGCAACAACCCAGAAGACAGAAATCTTCATACTCATCGCCCTGATGATGGAGGCAGTATGACCT